CTGCAGCCAGGCTGGCCGCGTGTTTCAGCATCAGGGTGAGGGGCCAACCATGGAGACACTCTGGCAGCCAGAGCATCTCCCTGGAGGACCCAGCCTCTGGTTGCTTCAGAGCATGATCCGTGCCCTGCCCCACTTTTTTTTGTTTCATTTTTTTTTAGACTCCTGGATGTCCAGGGGTCCAATTTTCGCCCTGCACTGCAAATTTGCAGCACGGGGAACATTTTTTTGTTCCCACACCTGCCTCTTGCCCCACCTCAAAGGGGTTTGAGGCAGGGCAAGGGGCACATGCGTGCTCGTCTGGATGCGTCCCTTGTGGCCAGACCGAAACCACTATGTTCTCATTGAGCAAAGGGTGGCAAAGATATTAGCAAATGGAAATGGGATGTTATAAGTGGAAGTACCTTGACTATGAGAGCAACTGAGACTAGCTCCATTTGTTTTCTTAGAAGGGATATAGCTAGCGCCTTAAATATTTATGGCATTTTCTTTTTAGCATCATAGTATCATAGTACTTAGGATTGGAAGGGACCGAAACAGATCATCAGGTCCAACCCCCTGCCCTGGGCAGAAACGAGTGCCAGGATCATATCACCCCAGCCAAATATCTGTCCAGCCTCCTCTTGAAGACCCCCAAGGTAGGAGAGAGCACTACCTCCCTTGGGAGCCCATTCCAGAGCCTGGCAGCCCTAACTGTAAAGAAATGTCTCCTGCTGTCCAGCCTGAACCTTCTCTCTAACAATTTGTGGCCATTATTCCTAGTAACCCCGGGTGGTGCCTGTGGGAACAGAGCCTCCCCCAATTCCCACTGGTCCCCTCTGGTGAGCTTGTAAATGGCCACCAGATCCCCACTCAGCCTTCTCTTGTGGAGGCTAAATAGGCCACAAGAGAAGCCTCTCTTCATAGGGCCTGCCCCGCTGCCCCTTGACCATGCAAGTGGCCCTCTTCTGGACCCTCTCAATGCTAGCCACATCCTCTTGAAGTGCAGCACCCGAACTGGATGCAGTACTCCAACTGCGACCTGATCAATGCCACAAAGAGGGAAGGATCACCTCCCTGGACCTGCTTGTGATGCATATGTAGTTGCACGACAAGGTGCAGTTAGCCTTCCTGACTGCTTCCTCGCATTGGCAGCTCGTGTTCATCCTGGAGTCAACAATTACTCCAAAATCCCTTTCTGCCACCATGTTGACAAGAAGGGTGTTCCCCAACCTATAGGTGTGTTGCTCGTTCCTTCTCGCTAGATGCAGTACATTGCAATTGTCTGCATTGAACTCCATGCTATTCTCATCCGCCCACCTCTGTAACCTGTCTAGATCTAGCTGGATTCTGTCCCTCCCCTCCAGCGTGTCCACCTCGCCCTACAATTTTGTACCTTGTATTTTGTCCTCCTACTAAATTGACTTAACAGCTCATTTCCATTTTGCTTACTTCAGCCAAGCACTTAGGTAATAGTTGATGTAAAATTTTTCATAATGCCTGGCTCTCTCTGGCAATCAGTGTGATGACTGATAATGTCATTTACTTCATATGCCTTATCTTGGGTCCTTCCTCCCACAATGAGTTACACTGGACTTTTGACCCTGTTACCCAAGCCATTTTCATGGTACAGTTTAACAGCTGTGTAAACAGCAGGTGGTGCTTTGCTTTCTCATTCCCATTGCTTTCCTTCATAAGCCAATTTTGTCTGTGCTCATCAAGCCCTCTCCCATGGTTTGAGAAGTGGTGACACACAATGACCTACCTAAGCCATCCAAAGACTACACTCACTCATGCCAGCTGCTCTACTTCACCTGCATCATGCTATAGATGATAGAGCTGGCTGGAAAAGGGAATTTTGATGTCCTGGGAAATTCCGAGATGCAAGTGTTTTCTTTTATTCCATGTAGGTGTGAACATTGACATCATGTAGTTTCCAGTGAAATGGCAGCCTATTTTA